AGTGAGCGGGGGCGGGCCGCAGCGAGTGCCGGGGCGGGGCCGGGGCGGGGCCGGCAGTGAGCGGGGGCGGGCCGCAGCGAGTGCCGGGGCGGGGCCGGGGCGGGGCCGGCAGTGAGCGGGGGCGGGCCGCAGCGAGTGCCGGGGCGGGGCCGGGGCGGGGCCGGCAGTGAGCGGCAGGCGGGGCGCGACCTCCCAGACCGCCGCCCGCGCCCTGGAGGCTCTGGCTGGCAAGCTGCCTGCGCTACCCAGCCCACGTAGATCTTGGAAATCGAGAAACCCCTAGAGCTGCTTTAGTTTTTATTTTGATTAATTAATTTTGTTGTGGGACATGGGGTTTGAACCTAGGGGTGCTCTATCATCCCTTTTTATTTTATTTCGAGAGAAGGTCTTGCTAAATTGCCCAAGCTGTCCTGGCTGGACCTTGCCATCTTCCTGCTTCAGCCTTCCTAATAGCTGGGATTACAGGCGTTCTCTCCTTGGCCAAATCCTTTGCCTGTTTTAATAGCTGTTAAGTTGTAGAAGCTCTTTATATATTCTGGATATTAGCATTTTATAGGATAAATGATTTGCCCATATATTCTCCCAGTTTTGTAGGTGGCCTTTTCAGCCTATTTATGGTGTCCTTTGATACAAAATGGATTTTATTTTGTACTTGGGTTATAATCCAAAGCTACTTGATTCATATTGTTGCCCAGATGGTACCAGCTTTGGACATTAGGAGCTCTTTCATGCAGGTGGATTAACTTTTTTCTTTTTCTGGTTCTGGGGATTGTTCAGGCTAGGCAGGTGGTCTACCACTGAGCTACACTCCCACCCCTTTTACAGTTTATTTTGAAGCATTCGGGCTGTGTTGTTCAGGCTGGCCCTGAGCTAGAGTTCTGTTTCACCTCCTGAGTAAGTAGGATCACTGGTGTGTGGCAGTAACCCTACTTGCTCAGTAGTAGGTGAGCCTGGTCTGCAGGCCCTTTTGTTGCATTACCTATGTTTTCTATGCTGTTTATCTTTTAATCTTTTGCACATGACAGTGGGTTTCTTKGTGGCACAGGTGTGCATGAAGAATGGACTTGGATCCTCTCCTTCCCAGTGCTCCCATGCTCTGTCCTCCCTCCGGCTTAGGCCGCTTTCTTTGTTTCTTTCTCCCTTCCTGGGCTCTGTTACATTTTCTTTTTCCTGAATTGAGATCTGTGGCCCTCTCCCGAGCAGCACTGGGATCTGTAACTCACATCCTCTTCTATTTTGGGTTGGTTTGGGGGTTTGGAGTTTAGGTTCCCCTTTGTTTGTACATTCCTTGTCCAGGCTGGGCTCCCCACAAGCAGATCCTGGGGTGAGGACTCAGTTTTTCTGGGAAATTCCAGGAAGCCATATGGGGAGCTGAAGGTGGAAGGGAAGGAGAGTCCGGGGCTGAGCCAGTGAGGTAAGAAGGTAGGCAGGGCCCCCCACGCTGCGACCTGGCTTGTGGTTGCCAAGGAAGCGTCATTGTTGGTAACAGAAGCTGCTCCCTCAGCTCAATCCACAACAGCTGAACTATGGAACCCACCTAGGTGCCCTTCAGTGGATGAATGGATAAAGAAAATGTAGTACATACAAACAATCGAATATTGCTCAGCCATGAAGAAGAATGAAATTATGACATTTGCTGGTAAATGGATGGAACTGGAGAATATCATGCTAAGTGAAATAAGCCAGTCCCCCCAAACCCAAAGGCTGAATGTTCTCTCTGATATGTGGATGCTAACTCACAATGGGGTGGGGATAGGGAAGAATAGAAAAACTTTGGATTAGACAAAGGGGAACAAAGGGAAAGGAGGTGGAATGGGAGTAGGAAAGGTAGTAGAACGAACCAGACATTACTGTCCCATGTTCACATATGATTACACGACCGCTGTAACTACACATCATGTCCAACCACAAGAATGAGAAGTCATGTTGTACATGTACAATATGTCAAAATACGTTCTACTGTCATGTAGAACTAATAAGAGCAAATAATTTTTTAAAAATCTGCTGGTGCCTGTTGGTATGCGGGTGTGCATGCAGAACCCCACTCCCATGTGCCATCCAGGTGCGTGACACTGTGTGGGCAGCTCATTCCCCGCCGGGTGGTATAGCAGCTTAGCAGCTTAACCTTCTTTGCCAGCCGACAGCTACCAGGGTGGGCTCAGGGGGACTGATGTTGTTCCAGCTCTGGGAGGGCATCAGCTCTTCAGGGAGAGGCAAGCAATCAGAGGGGCGTGGGGATCAATCCGTGGGGGACAGCCACCTGGATGCCCCACCAAGACCTGACCTTGACCTTGGGTCCCACTCCAGCGGAAGCCACGGGTGGGGCTCTGCTGCTCTCCCCTCCTGCAGGAGGTGGAGGCAGAGAAACTGTGACCAGGAGGCCCCTGACGCACTTGGCTTCCAGCGCTCAGGAATTTCCCTCCCCTGACCATTTGGAGCACTGCTTGGCAGCAGCCTCCTGACCACCTCCCCTACGTCCCAGCTCACCCCCAGTGACAAATGCAACGTGCCCAGGGCCCCTGCCTCAGCTGGGCATCCAGAGTGGATTCCAGTGCCAGGTCTTGTCACCACTCTGGCTCCCCGAAGCCAATCCATGATGGAGTTTGGGACAGAAACCGGGTGTCAGGGCTGGACACTGCAGCAGGAAGAGGAGGAGGACTGGGCAGAGGGAGCCTCTCGCCAGCCCTGAGGGATGTCAGATTCCCCCTGGGACTTCAGTGTCCCCTCCTAGCGTGGACCGCAGGTGAGGTGGGTTTGCAGCAGTGGCTGCTCTGGAGGGCTGGGTGGTCCCTGTGTGTCTTATCACTGGAGACCCCGGAGATGAGATGATATCTGTGTCTCCCCTCTTCTCCAGGAAGGGGTCACGGTCTCCTGCCCTGGGAAGCACCAGGGCCAGGGAAGGCCAGGCTCTTGTTGCTGTACATTCAAACCACCTACTCTGGCCTGTCTGCAGGTTCAGGTGCCCATGACTCTGTCCACACCTGCTCAGAGAATGCACTGAATGCCCTGTGCCTGGAGCACACTGTTCCTGAGATGTCACAGACTACTCTYGGGGAGCCGTTCCCACCCCATGGTGACCTCCCATGTGAAATTCTCCAGAGAGACAGGAGGATGTGTATGCATATGTACATGCTCGTGTCTCCCTTTCTTTCTGGTAGAGATGGGGATGTAACCCAGGTCTTCATGCATGCTTGGAAAGCACTCTGYCACGGAGCCACACTACCAGCCTTTTAATGTTATTTGGGGACAGGGCCTCACTAAGTTACTGAGGCTGGCCTTGAACTTGCAAGCCTCCTTCCTCAGACTCCTGAGTTACTGGGATTACAGCTGTGTGCTGTCTCGCCCCACTGGGATGAACCTCGAGGACATAATTAACTCTTAAGTGAAATACGCCAGAAACAAAATGAGAAATTGCAGTCTGATTCCACACACTCGAGCTCTTTCAAATAGTCAGACTGTTAGAAACAGAACAGAAAGTTGGGTGCTGGGGCTGGGGGAGGGACCTCGGAGAGGGAGGACAGGGGCGCTGTTCAAGGGGAACAGAGGTTCTGTTTTGCAAGATGAGAGTTCTAGAGACCTCTGGCACCACAGGGTGCACACATTAATACTACTGTATTGTGCACCTCAAAATGGTTAAATGATGAAATCCCAGCTACTTGGGAGGCTGCGGTAGGAGGATGACAAGTTCGAGTCCAGCCTGGGCAACTTAAGGAGATCTTATCTCAAAAACCAAAGACCTGGGGATGTAGCTCTGTGGAAAGTGCCCCTGGGTTCAATCCCCAGGACTGAGGGAAAAAAAGGTTAAATGGTGTTTTAGTTGTGCTAGGGTTTTCCTGTTCCTTCTTCAGTGATCAGAAGAGACACAAGACAGAAGATATTTGATTTCTCGCAGGGGCCACACGGCCTGCCTGGAGGCCACACAGAGGTGAGGTGGGAGAGGCGAGAGAGGGCAAGGAGGTGAGGACCTGTGGCCTCTGCCCTGGGCCCGGTGTGCTGCCCCTGCTGGCTCCGAGGCAGCCAGGGGAAAGGTGGGGTGCTGTCTCAGCTCTGACTTGGCTCCAGGGGTGCAGCTGGAGCATGGATTGTGAGGCCACCGAGATGTCTGGGGCCTTCCGTGCTGCAGCCTAGGAGCRTCAGTTAAGGCTCTAGGGGCCCATAAGGCTAAGCCTGTGGTCCATGGCTGTGAGCCACAGGCAGGAGGGAGTTGCTGGGTGTGACTGTCCAGGGCCACAAGGACAGGGTCTCTAACTTGCTGGCTTAGACCCGGACCTCAAACCCTGGGCTTGGATCTGGGTGCTGTGGCTCACYACATCCTGTGTTGTTGGGAAAGGTGTTCAATGCACACAGCCCGCCTCCTCCAGGGGGAAACAGGGCCAGAGTGCGGCCAAAGTGAAGGATCAGGATCCCACCCCACCCGCCAGACCCAGAGCCAGGTTCTCTTCCAGTCCTGCCCTGAGCTCAGCCAGGAGATGCCCCTATGGTCAGCACAAATCTTTCAGCATCAACAGCTGCCCGGACCCGAACAGAGAGCACCCTGCGGCCTTGGAGGTTCTGGCAGGCAGAGGAGGGAACTAGGTGGGGCCTGTCATGACTGTCCCTAAGGGCAAGCCCAAGAGGGACGGGAGGGGCACTGTAGCCCGCTAGGGCTCTGGTCTGCACTTGAAAACCTGAGGGCTGTGGCCAGGACCCTGGCTGGCGGGGGCGGAGAGGATCTGGGCTGGGCTTTGGGGCTAGCACTGCTGTGTGGTGGTTCAGTAGACGGGGTGGGAGGAGCTGGCGGGAGCAGAGGTCTGGGCGCCACTGTGGCGCCTGGGCACATGGCTCCCAAGGGAGCCAGCTTKGCTGTTCTGAGTGGAAGGCAGGTCAGGTTTCCTCAAGAAACCTCAGAATAGCCCCTGGCTGCCGAGGAAGCCTGGCCCTGCCTCCCAGCAGCAGTCCGTCCCCAGGCTGGCTGCCGAGGCCACCTGGGCTCACGTTCAGCAGTCTCCTCCCTGAACTGCCACTGAGCCTGGCTTGTGCAGGCGGCTGGGGTCCGGATGCCCTGACTCCACCAACCTGTCTTTGGGGAGTCTGGGCCTGTGGGGGTGGACAGGCATCTAGGCGAGGCCCGTCAGGGGGCCTTTCACAACAAGTCTCACAAATAGGTGACACCAGCCTTGGAAGAGGGTCCCCAGAACACAGGAAAGCCAGCTCTGGGGGTGGCCAACCTCGGGGGGGGATCTCCTAGGAGGCTGCACCATGAAGAGGAAACAGCATCAGGGCCCCGCAGCTGGCCAGTCCCTCTCGGTCCTGTGCTTGTCTCTGGCGTGCATCTTAGGGTAAGGGGATGCCCAGGCCAAGGAGACCAGGAAGGGGCCTGTGGGGAAGGGCTGAGCTGTCCCAAAATAGGGCCGGTAGGATCTCCACCCATAAAAGGCTTCTGGAGCCTGGACCCCAGGGACCCCAGGCAGCTCAAACGCAGCTGCCGCCACTGGCCGCGTGCTCTGCCCACAGGGTCCCTGTGCCAGTGTCGCGTTGCTCTCCTGACCAGCCACAGACATGGTAAGGCTGCTCCAGCACCAGAGWGCCACTGGAGGCCGACTGGGTGGCTGAGCCCGAGCTGGGCGCCTGCAGTGGGGAGGGGGCTGGGGTAGGCCTCTGGGCGAGGAGAATGGCTAGAGGGGACCCGGAGGTATAAGGGTCTCTCCAGGAGCCTGAGGAGCGGCTTGGGGAAGGGGCTGAGGAGCGGGTAGAGGCCGAGACTCTGCCACAACACTGCCCTGTGTCTTTGTGCCCCACCAAAACCCTTGCTGAAGGTTCACCCAGGACTGCTGCTGCAGGGGCTGGCAGAGGGGGCTGGCAGAGGGGACTGGCAGAGGGGACTGGCAGAGGGGGCTGGCAGAGGGGACTGGCAGAGGGGGCTGGCAGAGGGGGCTGGCAGAGGGGACTGGCAGAGGGGACTGGCAGAGGGGACTGGCAGAGGGGGCTGGCAGAGGGGGCTGGCAGAGGGGGCTGGCAGAGGGGCTGGATGCTAGACTTTCCCCAGGACTCTTCCTCCAGCTACCCCTGGGGCCCTGGCTGCAGGCTGGCCTTCACCTGGTCTGGTTGGGCTCCTCCCTACACTGTTGCCCAGTGCCCTTTACCTGGTCTCACCTGGTGTCCCCTGCCTTGGCCTAGGTCTGGCCCAAGGCTTCTGCAGCCTTGCTGTTTCCCTCCTGGCTCACCTGTGCCCTGGCTCCTGTGTGCCCACTGGTCCCCTTACCTGAACCCTCTGCCTCACTTGTTCTTGTCCCTTTCAGAGCCCTGCTCACCCTGAAGCCCTTGCTCATCTAAGAGGCTTGCTCTGTGCTGGGGGGGGGGGGGGGGCTCCTTTTGTGTGTGTGTGTGTGTGTGTGTGTGTGTGTGTGTGTGGTGCTGGGGATTGAACCCAAGGGCCTGGTGCAAGCGAGGCAAGCACTGTACCAACTGAGTCACATCCCCAGCCCTGGAAGACCTCCTCTTGAAGCACATGGGTGCCCTGAAGGGTGGCCAGGTTCACAGACCTGGACAGCGGTGAGACTGGGTGCGGGTGTCCCCTGCAGACGGAGCGCCTGTCCGCTGAGCAGATCAAGGAATACAAGGGGGTCTTTGAGATGTTTGATGAGGAGGGCAAYGGGGAGGTGAAGACCGGAGAGCTGGAGAGGCTCATGAGCCTGTTGGGCATCAACCCCACCAAGAGCGAACTGGCCTCCATGGCCAAGGACGTGGACAGAGACAGTGAGCTGGGGCCGGTGGCACAGGCGGGGTGCAGCCCTGGGTTGGTTCACGTATGTGAAGGGTGGGGAGGAGGCAGAGCCACCGGAGGGGTGGAGTGGGGCCCAGCCCACCCCTTACTTGAGGGGRACGGGGGACGAACTTCTTGCAGACAAAGGCTTCTTCAACTGTGATGGTTTCTTGGCGCTGATGGGGATTTACCATGAGAAGGCCCAGAACCAGGAGGGAGAGCTGAGGGCAGCGTTCCGGGTCTTCGATAAGGAGAGCAAGGGCTACATCGACTGGGACACACTCAAGTAGGGTGGAGGGGTTGGATGGTGGGGTGGGCACAGGAGGGCACGGGCAGGGCCCACGGAGTGGCTCAGTGTGAGGATCCGGCAGGTACGTGCTCATGAATGCAGGGGAGCCCCTCAATGAGGTGGAGGCTGAGCAGATGATGAAAGAGGCAGACAAGGATGGAGACGGAACCATCGACTATGAGGGTGAGTGGGGCAGGCCCTGGGGCTGAGCGGCCAGGCCATCCAGGCTGCTGACCTGTGCCTCTGCCCCCAGAGTTCGTGGCCATGATGACCGGAGAGTCCTTCAAGCTGGTTCAGTAAGAGCAGCTGCTGTGGCTCTAGGAGGCCTGCCCAGGAGGCCATGGCCTGCCACTGCCTGCCCTGCCCCTCACTGTGTCAAATAAATGCTGCAATCTGACTCCTGTGTGCTTCACTGTCCCCAGCCTGGAGGGAGGGGTGGCCAGGGGGTGGGTCTGGAGGAGCGTCTTCTAGGGCAGCCACAGGCACATGGCCCTGGTCACTTCTGSTGAGACACTTGACCTGTCTCTGAACAGTAGCCTAAAGGTCAGAGGGCTTCATGCTTGCCCTACCTGCCACACGGGGGAGGTAACTGCCTTGGGGCCCTCCTGGAACCCTGGGGTCCCAGAGCCCTTTCCATAYAGGCAGAGACCATTCAGACATAAATTTTATTCTCTCTCCAAAAAGCCATGGACACCACAGAGAGCCCTGAGTTCTCAAGCCTCAGGCCTCCAGGGACTCCTCCAGGATGAGGTCCTGATGGGGCCTGGCCAGGGGCTTGAGCTGAGCGCATCAGCCCGCCCTCGGGGGTGGCTGACACAGGGCTGGCTGGCTGGCGGGCTGGCTGGCGGGCTGGCTGGCGTTCCAGGTCTGCAGCAGTGTGCTGGAGGGCTGATTTCCCAGGGGAAAGCAGGATGGGGCAGACCTTGGCTCCCGCAGTCAGGACTCCAAGTGCTTTGGCTCTAGGAGAGCCTTCTGCCTGCTTCAAGGGGCACCGGGACTACTGCTGGGCTGTTGAACATGGGGGCTGGGCTCCTGGGGCCCTGGAGTGGTCTCTAGGCCCGAGGTCCCAGGAAGAGTTCCGGGTTTCTGGGAGGGGGCCAGCTCCTCTTCTCTGGGTTTTGCCGTCTTGATGGCCTCATCATAGGAGGGTGGCAGCTCAGGTGCATATAGGCTATAGGCAGGAGGGACCATGGAGTCAAGGTCCAGCTCCCCAAAGGGCAGGGGCAGCTGCATGCCCAGTGGGTACTGCACGGAGCTGTAGGCTGCAGGGAACCAGAATGCGTTTATGGAGGTGGGGTTGGCATTCACCACCCTAAGTCCCCACCCACTGCTGGCTGGTGGGCCACCAGGCACTCACAGGTCACAGTGCTATGCACAGGGCTGTCACTGTCCACAGGGATGACCGTGAGGTCGCAGGGCTGCCATACTGGGGGCAGGTGTGTCTGTGTGCGCACCTGCTTCCGGAGGCAGCAGAACCGGACACAGCTAGCGGTGACTCCACACAGCAGCAGCAGGAGGACAGCGAGCAGGATGAGCCTGGCAAGAGGAGCAAGGCCCACCACCAGACTGACCCTCGGCCACCAGGCAGCTGCACCCTGGGGCCAACTGTGGCCCAGCCACCYAAGATGGGACAACAGGCAAAAAGAAACCCAGAGAATGTCTTTCCATGCCAGAGACCTCCCTGGCCAGGGCCAGACTGGAGAAACCCRCCTGCTCTGGCCGCCTGCTGCTGGGCCTGCCCTACTGTCTCTCCAGGGCTGGCCAGGGGTGGCCTTGGGCTCAATCCCAGGACACACTGTCCCCAGTCAACTGCACAGTCCTGTGCCTTCTGGTGACTGTGACCAGGCTTTGCTCTGAGCCCGCCCAGGGCCCTGAGCCTTGCACCAGCACCAGTCGAGGCGACAAGGTGCCGCGTGGGGTCTCATGTTTCCCACAGGGTCTCTCCGGGAGGTGAACCATCTGACCAGCGGCTCTGAGCGGCGGCCTACTTACCCCACGTGCCACAGGCTGCTCCAGCGGGCCTGGGAAGGGCACCTGCAGGGACAGCAGCACCTGGAGCAGGTGGGCACCGGCCCCGGACGACCTCACCACCCAAACCTCCCCGCGGCGCGGGCCAGGCCCCGCCTCCCTCATCCCCACTCGGACTTACTGGTCCGAAGGGTCGCAGCTGCGGTCCGCCGAGCCCAGCGCCACCTGCGGGGACAGGGATGAGCCCAGGCGGGGCGTGGCCAAACGCAGACCCACCCCGAGTGCCCGAATCTCACGCGCGGCCCAACCCACCTGCGGCAACGGCAGGAGCGGCAGCAGCAGCAGAATCCCACAGGCAGCAGGTGGCCCCGGGGCCATGCTCCGCGCTGACGCCGGAGCCGCGCCCGGCTGGCTCGGGGTTTTACGAGGCCCCGCCCACCACGGCCCGCCCGCTCCCTGGGATTGCTCCGCTCCGTGCGAGCCCCGCCCCTGACGCCCCGCCCCTGCCCGGGTCCCGCCCTTGGAACTCTGGGCTCCTGGCAGCCCGGCCTGGTGTCTCCCAGGCCCAGGGTCACCCAGGCTTGAAGTGGGCCTCCTAGGCCCTGTGCTGGTAGGTCTCCTTGGTGCTGCGCTGGCCTGTCCTGCAACTGGCTGAGCTTGGCTGCTGACCCTCCTTCCTCCTGCCTTGACTGTGCTTGATCTGGCAGGGCCAGCACCGGAGTGGAAGGAGGACTGGACACCCAAGCACAGCCCGAGTCTGGGCCAGAGCCTGGAGTCCTGAGCCAGGTATGCTCTGCTGTCTCACAGGAGGGAGAATCTTCCGTGGAGTACCCCCTTCTGAGGCCTGACATGGCCAGTGGACCCTGCCACCCCCTCCCATCTGGCCAGGAAGCACATCTAGGGTCTGGGGGCAGGGAGGGGGGGGCAGCCAATGCTGGTCAGCCCTAGTGGGGGCAGCAAGGGGCCTGAGTCTGTCACTCTTTGGTCTTCTGGACAGAAATCCTGCAAAATGCTACAGCGTCCATGTCACTCAGAGGCAACAACTGGCTTCTAATGCCAAGGGCACTGAGCAGGCACCAGAGACACTACCCCTCCATTTGCTCCTGATGGCTGGCCCTGGGTTGGGATGGCAGGGGGCCAGGCTGGCTTTGTGCCCAGCAAGTCACTYTCTTGAGGAAAAGAGCTAGCAGGTGGTAGGTGGGTGTGTAGGAGCATCTCAGGGCTGGAAGTGATCTTCTCCCTTGGAGGGTGGATCAGAACCCAGAAAGCAGAATCCAGGGTTCTCAGACAAGTGGAATCCAACTCACAAGCTGGGCCTCATTCTGGCCCCTGGAGGGGCCTGAGTGAGGAGTACAGGTGAGCTGGGCCCTTGACATATTTGCTAAATCCTTGTTTGAGGCCAGGGTCCTGGGACTTTGGAGGTCCCGGGAGGACTAAGGGGCCTGCCCTGGATTTTGGAGTCCCTTCTCCCTGTACCACTCGGAGCCTGGGTCAGTCCCATCTCCAATCCTGTGCCCCCAGCACCCTGTGCTGCCTGCTGTTGTCCCTGTGAACCAGGTTTGGGCATCTCCCTGTGTTTGGGCAGATTCCCACCAGCCAGGAGGTCCCCGCCCAGCAGGCTGCTGCTTCATAAATGTGCACGCGCGCACGCAGGTGTGTAGGGGCTACTTCCCAGAGCTCTATCCTGTCCACTGGGCTGGTCATCCATACTGCAGTGGCATGGTTGGCTCCTGGAGTTTATTGACAGGCCTGTGGGGGTGGCTTTCCTAGGGGCCTCTGAAGTCTGGGCAGGCTCTGGTGAGTGTGGGTCTCTGGCCTGGTTCTGAGGGCTCAGGGAGAGGGGTGCTCTTGGGCCTTGGGCTTGTTGAGTCCTGTGCAGCAGGAAGTGGCCATGGATGGGCGAACCCTGGTCGTGGGGCCATTCAGGAGGCTGACTGTTTGAACCTGCCCAGCAGGGGATGCCCAGGCCAGGCCGACAGCCTCTGAGGGCTTTGGGGGTGGATGGGAGAATGCGAGGGGCTCATGGAGCTGCTCCTTGGTCTCAGGGGCCAGTCACCACATTGGCTACAAAGATGACCTTGTAGGTCTCCTTCACGTCCCCTTTGAGCTGCAACAGGGCTGATACCATGAGAGGATGGTCCGGCTAGAACAGGAGGGAACAGGAAGGAGGGGGCTCTCAGCCGGTCTCAGCCAAGACAGGCAGAGGCCCCTCTTTCCTGCCGTTCTGCCTGTCTTGCCCCCACACTGGTGGGGCAGGGCTGGCACCCTCCCAGCCTGGAGCTCCCTCYGGCACCTACATCAAAGTCAGTAGGGGGCACCCAGGAGATGCTGATGGTCTTGGTCTGTCCGCGCTCCACCATGCCCTTGGAAGGCTCTATGGAGAAGCCCTTGTGCTGCAGCCACGGGACACTGTCCAGGCTGAACTCCACCATCTGCAGGGCGTCGGCATGGCTAGAGGGTCAAGGCTAGGAGAGGCCAGGGCTGCCCAGGGCAGGGAAGGCCAGGGGTGCCATCACCTTCTTCGGAGATGGCTGGGTGGTCCTGATGCAGCCCACCTGCAGCTCCCGGGTGGCGGGTGGGGCSGGTGTGTCTGTGTCAAACTGGACGTAGTCCAGGGTCAGCAGGATGGGTTTCAGCTCCTCCACGTCTGGGGAGGGAGGGCCTAGCTGGGACCACTCTGGTGGGTCCCAGGGCAGTGAGGGCAGTTGCYGAGGGTCAGGCAGAGGGCTGGAGGGCAGGCTGGTTGGCAGTGCCAGTCCTGCCTGGCTCTGCAGGTGATGAGCAGGGAATCCCTGCCCTCCTCTGCTGGGCCTGGGTGTGCCCACTTGCCRGCTCCTCCCTGAGGTGGCTGTGACCTCCTGTCCCCTCCCCAGGCCAGGCTCACCCTCTCTGTGCTCTGGGTCGAGGGCAGACGTCACAGCGAGAGACTCCACGGGCACATCCAGGGGGTCCCCGCCCTCCACAAACATCATGTGCTCCCGGGCGGCACCCTGCAGGAGGATCTGGTGGGAGATTTTCTGGGGACGAGAAGCATAGTTGTCTGTCCCTCTAGCTCCAAGGCAGGGCCTAAAGCTGGCTCAGACTGGAGCCCCCTAGGACCAGTGGTGCTGGACGGTCTACCTGATGACCCCCCATGTGATGCCCTGGRCCTGGGAAGTGGGAGGCACAGGGGAGGGTTAGGGAGGGGCAGGTGCCTGGAGGAGGGGGCGCTGTCCCCTGGGGCACCTTTCCGAAGAGCACCACTTGGAGCCGGTCAGAGAAGTAGAGGCTCTCGTGGTCCGGGCTGAAGGTCACAGTGAAGTCCTGCGCCTTCCCCGGCTCCATGACACCTTCCACTGGGACCACACTGAATACGCTCTGGCCACTGTGGTTCTGTGGGCCTGCGGGTAGGGCACTGGATGTCCCCAGTCCTGCTGCTGGAACTCCACCTGCAGCCTCAGCGCCTCCCCACCTGACTCCCCCTCTGGCCCTGGCGCCTCTGCACCCCAGTCCCCCCCACTTCCTGAGCCCCCAGCCCAGCCGCCCGTCCTGCCCACAGCCCCCGCCCTCCTGATGCTCCAGGCTCCCCTTCAGGTCCAGCCCACCCGGCACCGTCCTCACAGCCCCAGCAGCTCACCAACCAAGTCCGTCCTCTGGGCGGGTGAGGCCAGGAACTGAGGCAGCTGCTGTYGGGCCAGGGCCCTGGTGCTGGAGAGGCTCTCCAGCCGCAGGGAGAACTTGATGGGGAGCGAGGAGTCGTTCTGCAGCTGCCGGGAGGGCCCGGTGTCACTAACTGGCCCACACCTGGGCCGTCCTCTCCCTGGAGTCAGTGCCTGTCATCTGGTCACCTGCAGCRGCACTCCACTGGGGACCAGGTGGCTACACCTCCCAGTTCCACTTGGCTGTGTCTCCAACCAGTGCCTTGGGCTGTGGGTACCTCCTCCATCCCACCTGAGCTCTTGCCCAAGTCGGTGGCCGACTTTCCTGTGCAGCCCTGTGACCAGCTCGGTGCTGCCCTCAGTCCTGAAGGCAGAGCTCCTCTCTAACTGTCTCTTCCCCGCCCTCACTGCCCCCGAGAGCCCCTTCTGAACAGGACTTCCACCCCTGGCTCCGCTCCCGGGTCCCACCTGAGCAGTCTGGGAGGCAGAGCTCCTCTCAAGCTGCTTGAGCCCCAGACTGGGGCATCCCTTAGAGGGGCAGCAGGAGTCGGGACCTCCCTCAGGCACAGGAGCCCACAGGACAGGGTGGCCTCTTCCTGGGGGTCTGATAGACTTTCTGCCCCTCAGTACAAAGCAGGAGAGTGGCGGCCGAGGGCTCCAAGCAGAGGCCCCGAGGCAGAGGGCGCAGGAGGGGACCACCTCGGCTTTTGCAGAAGCCAGKGCCCCAGGTCCCCCACTCGAGAGGGCAGCAGCTGGGGAGAGCCTGTGCCTCCACTGGCTCCCCAGYCAGCTGGGCCTTCTAAAAGCCGGGCTGACCCCTGGCAGGACTGTTCACCTTGAAACTCGAGGAGATGGACTCTCTGGCCAGCACATAGCCCATGCTGAGCACATTGCCTTCAATGGAGCAGGAGACCATGGACGCCACGCCCAGGCCCGTGAGGGTGAGCGTGAGGGTCCCTTTCTTGCTGATGATGTCCAGTGTCTCATGAGCCTAAGGAGACCACGTCCCTTAGCCAGGAGCAGCCACCTGTCTGCCAGGCACGTGGTGAGCCCTAGTTCTGTCTGTGAGCAGCTGCCTGGTGGCCTGTCCCTGCAAAACAGCCCCGAGACCCTCACTGCCCCTGACGTGCCAGCCAGGGCATGAGGAGGGTCTGCTGCTCCGACTGCTCCATCAGTCCGGGCCTGAGGGCGCCGTGGTGACCACAGTGCCCAGAGCCCAGGGCTGCAGCGGGGGACTCCCAAGGCCACACCTGCTTCCTGGGACCCTGGCTCTGAGGGTCTGGGGGCTGGCGCTCACCAGGAGGCTTTCGCGGGGTGAGAAGGACAGCATCAGCACCTGGGTCTCGCCTGAGCACAGCTTGCTGAAGGGGTTCAGCAGAGCGAAGGGGCCGCTGGGGTTCAGCACCGAGAACTCCACCTGAGGCCCACGTCAAGGAGGGAGACCCGACGGCTCCAGCCCGGCCCAGACCCACCCAGACCTGCTCTGGCCCCGGGGCTGCCTGCGCCAGGTGTGGACCAGGATACGTCCAGGTCCTCGGGGCAGATGTTCTGGAGGGAGATCTTCTTTATACCACGGTGTCCTGAAACGGCAGGGAGGGTCCTGTCAGTCCTGGCCCAAGGAGCATCTGTCCCTCGGGTGGAGCATGGCTGGTGGGGGCTGGGTAGGTCCGGGTCCCTGGGCTAGGGGAAGGAGGGCTGCTGATGTCAGGGTCAGTCGGGACTCACCTACAGCAATATCGCCAAAGTTGAAGGTGGTCTTGCCTTTGTTAGACGTCACCACGATAGACGGAGCCACGGCTGGACACCACAGCTCCAGGTACAGGGTGTTGTGGGGGCTGGGTAGGCAAGGGCACGCTGGAGGCACAGCAGGGCAGCCAGGCCCACCTGGGCTCCAGATCTGCTCAGTGGTTGAGGAGGGGCCGCAATTTTGCAGCTAACCCTGCCCCTTCCTGGCTCAGTGTCCCACACCTGAAACTTAGGGGTTCCGATCCCTTCCTGTCCTTGACGTCACCACTGGCCATGACACATGGGACCACAAACTTGTCAAACTTCGCCTGGAAAGTTCGGACCAGGGCAGACTGAGCCATCTGGTACTCATGGGAACTGGAACGAGAGGGACAAAGTGTGCTGTGGCCCCTGCTCACGGCCCACCTGGGCCACGGGTCCCTGCTGGGCTGAGCCCCCTGGGCTCCACGAAAGGGATCCCCAAGGACCTGCTTCCTAGGACCCTGGGCTCAAGTGGCCTCTCCAGGGGGGACTACAAGGGGTAAGGGTCCTGGGTGGTGGCTGCCCTCTGTTCTCCATGAACGGGTCTTCCCCCCTCCTCCGGCCAGGGAGCTCCTCCCTGCTCCAGSCCCTGGAGTCAGCCTAGGGAGGGGATCTCTTCAGAGGGTGCCCAGGAGGCAGCCCCTGGACGGGTGCTGGGAGCCTGCAGGCCTCGACCTCCAGCTCGAGTCTCAGGCAGCTGTGTGGCGGCGGCCTGTGGGGAAGCCCACTGGGGCCGGGGGCCACCTCTCCCGGCCCACCTGACCCTGAGCTCCTGCTTCTCCTGCTGGGGGGCGTGGGAGGTGACGGCCGTCCGTTCCCGGGTCCGCAGTCGGAGCACAGAGAGGGACTGTCTCCACAGCTCCTTCTTCTGGCTGAACGTATCCTTTCGGAACTGTGAGGGGGGCAGCTGGCTGTGGGGCTGTTCAGGTGCTCTGCCCCGTGTCTGCAGACCCCACACTGCCCCTGAGGCACCCCCAGGGCCCGTCTCGCAGGCCCAGCTGACTGCTGAGGGGCAGGCCCCACCAGTTCAGCTCTGGAGCCCACAGGACCCAGAACTGCCTCCAGGAGAGGCCAAGGGCACGGTTCGGGGGTCAAGCCATGAAGACGGGGGAGAGTGCGGGGCCATGAGCCCAGACTGCCCACGGACTCATGTCTGCAATGGGGGAATTGAGGCAAAGAGGGACAGGGAGTCTGTGGAGCGGGTTCCTGGTCCCTGGAGCCTCTCTGAGCCTCTCTGAGCCTCTCTGAGCCTCTCCACCTGCAGAAAGCCTGTACCCCCGGCACTTAGGTGTGCACCACAGAAAACACATGGCCAGTCGAGGAGCGGCCACACAGCTCTCCAGGGTCAGTGCAGTGTGCCCGGGCCGTCTGTGGGGCGCGTCTCCCTGAGGCGGCTCCTGTGCCTTCCCCTGGTGGTGGAGGGGGCTGTCCTTGCATTTATCCCAGTCCTGCCCACGCCGAAGTCCTGGCCACCCTCTGGGGTGGCCCAACTCCCACTGCCCGGTGCTGCTTTCAGGAGGAGGGAGGGGTCTTCTTGAAGACCTTCTACCCTCTTGAGACAGTGCCGGCGTCTGCCCTGCGCTCCTGCACCGCCCCCCTCCCCCGAGGCCCACCCTGCCCCTCCCTGGGGGCTCCACGCACCAGTTTGTTCTGAATTTCTTTGTTGAGGATCTGGAGGGCTTCCTCRTGGATCACCTCATGGGACAGCACAGGCCGGAAGGCCACCTGGACCAGGCATCTCTGCAGGGAGACACTGGGACTGCCACCCTGCTCCAGGAGCCCAGAGGGCACCGGTGGCCCTTGCTGGTGCATGCCCTCCTCAGCTCCCTGCTCCTTCCCTTGGCCCTGGGTACTCCTAACAGCTCCCCACTTTGAGATTTCAGCCTAGATGTGCCCCTTCCAGGAAGGCCCCCCCACCACTGCCCCAAAGAAAAGGGGGTGGGCTGCAGCACGGGATATCCAGCCTTCCACCATGTGGGTGGGCACTGAGAGCAGGGTCCTGAGTGGCCAGGACCTCACCCACTGTCCTTGAGGCTCAAGTGAGAAGGAAACTTCCTTTCCAGCCMGAGTGCCTGGGTGAGTTCTGTTCCCTAACTCGAGTCCTGTGTGCAACCAGCCTTTCCCCTCTGGGGCTCTGTCAGCCTGCCTGCAGCGGGTCCCAGAAGTCTTCTCCAGGACAGTGTCCAGCTCACTCACCACCCCACCCCACCTGCTCAGCACAGGATGGRACAGAGGGAGAGAGGAGGAGGAGGGAGAGGAGGAGGGAGAAGGCAGGTGAAGGAAGAGAGGGAGAGGGAGAGACAGCTACCACCTGCAGCACCCACTCGGACACGAGAACCCTGATCTAAGCAGCATTTTCTGTTTAGTGAGCAGCCTGCTACATGCCTGTATCCACTGAGAGAAGCCCTGCTGGGTCCAGGCAGAGCACCCTGGGCTCCTAGGACAGGCCCTACTCAGCCTCCCCGTGCCCATCCACTGTGGGGTCTCGTTCAGCTGGTCTGAGGTCTGCCCACCCTTCTTCAGCCGGCCGACACGTGCCTGCTGGGGCAGCTGCCGGGGTTGCTCCCTCCCTGCCGGTCAGGTGGCCGAGGGCRGGTGGCCGAGGGCACGTGGCCCAACCCCCCCTCGGTGGCTGTGTAGGCTTCCCCAGTCCTGCTGGGGCTAAGTCCCTGTGTGCCAGGGTGGCTCTCACCAGGCACCCCACCCCGCAGGGCAGTGGCAGGTGGCCCGAGCCTCCACCTCCAGCCCGCTGGACTAGGCCCCGCTCACCTTTCCTGGTAACACGGTCCCCACCAAGGGTGAGATGGTGATGGGCAAGTCCGAGGGCAACAGAAACTCAAAAGACGTGGCTCCCCCGGGGGAAGCCTCCTCTGAGCTGCCCCGGGGCCCCGAGCGGGGCAGGGAGCTCCCCCCCGGGTGGGAGTTGATGACATACAGCCTGGCCACGGAGGTGTCGTACAAGGAGGTGGCYGCAAACTTGATCTGGTAGTGGGACAGCTCCAGAGGCGGGTGGACTCCCACAGCTCGGCAGGACAGCTTGACGCACCTGCAAGTCACGGGTGTGAGCAGTGCCCAGCCACACCAGGGCTTCCACGTGCCAGGAGGGTGGCCAGGACCTGCTCCTGCAGTCGCCACAGTGGCTTGCTAYCCTGTGGATACGTGGGAAATACCCTGCCTCCCTGTGCACGATTTTGGTAGATGGCTAAAACAAGCTGAGGGGATTGTAAAGGAGGCGATCTGTGGCTGATTATTTTAAATATTTATTGACATTTAAAATCAAAACTGATAAATCTCTAAATAGACGCAGGGAGTCCTGCATACCACAGTGAGATGATTCCTGCCACCTGCTGTTAAAGAACAAGAACAGAAATTCTCATTTTTGGGGGGTGCACTAGAGACTGAACCCAGGGGTGCTCTGTCACAGAGCCACACCTCCTAGCCCTTTTTAATTTTTATTCTGATACAATGATATTGCTAAGTTTCTGAGGCTCTCCCTAAGTTGCTGAGGCTGGCCTCAAACTTAGAATCTTCCTGCCTCAGCCTCCCGAGTCTCTGGGGTTACAGAGGTAGACCACCACGCCCCGTGAGATGCCCCTCTTTTGACCACGGGGAAAGTTCACATCCGTGTYTTCTTTGTACTTCTGTGGCCACAGCACTTTCCCCATTAGCATGTATCTACTTGTTTATTTGGACCTGGGGGTGCCTTACTGCTGAGCTCCATCCCCAGCCTGGTCACTTTTGAGATGGGGTCCTGCTAAGTTGTGAGAGTGGCCTTGAACTTGCAATCCTCTTGCCTCGGTCTTCTGAGGCCCGGGGATTACAGGTGCCGCCTTCACGCCTGGCTTCCCCCGTAGCTTGTACCCCGTGGTGTGTGTGGGGGTGCTGGGGTTTGAACCTGGGGCCCAGTGCCTGCCAGGCAAGTGTTTGGAAGGGAACGGCGTCCCAGCCCCGGACGCGTTATTTTTTATGCTTTAAAGGGTGGTACTGATTGTCATCTTGTTCTGTAATGAAAATGTGCTGCTGAAACATTTCGATACATATTTTCATAATCTGTGACACAGGCTCTAAATAYTAAAAAGTATCTCTCTGGGTGGAGATAGTCACATGATTATTAGTATTCAACTAACTGAAAAATAGGAGTGTGTCAAGCGTGTGAAAGTAGCACATGGGCTCTCGGTTGCCCCCGGTGGGGGCCAGGCAGCAGGCTCACCTGTTCACCTCCGACTTGCAGACCAGCTCGAAGCTGTACTCCCTGGCCTTGGTGGGCTGGAAGATCACGTCCAGCTGCAGAGCCTCCAGGGGCAGGACGGTCCCAAAGCCGTCGTTGGGCTGGACGTCCACAAACTGGGAAATGGAAGACACCAACTCCACAGTGAAGACGGTGCAGGTCAGCAGTGTGTGGGCGTGTGGACCCACGGGCAGGGTAGGTGTGAGGGCACACGGCTGTGAGACGGGGTCGCAGGTGAGTGTGCCTGAGATCCTGTGTGTGTGTGTGTGTGTGCACGCCACAGATGTGAGCAAATGTGTGTGAGAGTGCATGTGGGGGCAGCCCGGGAAGGGAAAGTTCTGGAAGGAAGGCAGGGATGGGTGAGGGTCTGGAGCCCCATGGGTGCCCCCCGCCAGGAGAGGGAGAGAGCTGGGGAGATGAGGACCAGGGAGGGCGGCAGGGCCCGGGAGAGGGTCGGTGGGCGGTGGGCGGGGCAGCAGGGTGTGCAGGCAGGAGGTGGCCGGTGCCTGGGAGCCTCTCTGGGGCTGAGCTCAGCGGCACCTTGGGGAGTCCGACGAACCCAAACTCCTGGGGCAGGAGCGAGTGGTTGTAGAGAATGACCTCGGCCCTGATGGCCTCATAGATGGTGCAGTGGCCAAAGTCCAGCTCCGAGGGGCTGAGCTCCAGGTCAGAGGTGGTGACGATGGCCTGCACGGTGAAGCCCACTGGCTTTATCTGTGGCACAAAGGGTGGGTAAGTGTCCCCGAGCACCGTCCCCTCCCCTGCTGTGCAGGTGCCGGGTGGCAGGCGGCAGAGCTGCCCGGCAGGCCACAGAAGGCAAGGATGGGAGCTGCAGCCGGGCGCTGCCTCGCAGGCCTCACTGGGTACAGGGCCTGGCCCCCTGAGCACTGCTCCATTCCCCGGGGGCCAGCGTCCCTCCCAGGAAGAGCCCTGTGCAGACCTGGTCGGCCACCCAGATGGTCATCGGAGCCTCCAGGACTCTGCTCTCCTTGTCAAAGTACTTGCCAGCATCTTCGGGGAGGGAGTGCCTGCAGGAGAGCGCACACCAACTCACCTCTCTTCCTTGTCGGGAGACAATGGGGAGGCTGGCCCAGCGTGGTGCTCTGACACCCTCAGAGCCACACAACAGGGGACCCAGGTGTGCAAGCTTCTCCAGGAGGCCGAGCACACACACAGGTGGACTTAAATCAACAAGCAGGTTCAGCAGCTGTGTTCCAGGTGGATGGGGAGTGCCCCCTAGACAAGTCCTACACAGCACCTTGCCAAGTCGGTGTAGAACAGGGTCTGCTCTGGCCAGGCGTGGTGGCACACCCCTGCACTCCCGAGGCTCGGGCGGCGGAGGCAGCAGGAAAGTTGGAGGCCAGCCTTGGCAGCTTAGCAAGACCCAGCCTCCAGGTAGGACTTGAGCTGTAGCTCAGTGGTAAAGTCTCCCTGGGTTCAATACATAAAACAATAAAATGGTCTGCTCTCTGATTACAAAAGGAAATTCGAATCATTATAGAAATATTGGGGAAAAATACCAGAAAGAAATAAAAAAACGCCCTTTTCCATGATGCCTCKCCCCCAGGCAAGTCCCACAGCTCCRGCTTCCACAGACGGCCCAGTCCCTGCTCCCGCCCAGCCGCTGGCCCACGTGTCCTGCCGACAGCCTGGGCCCAGACCCTGACCCCGGGCCYGGGGCTGAGGAGACCCACCGGGGCAGGAACTTGAGCTGCACTGAGTAGGAYGACTGGGCCTGGATGTAGCCCATCTCGGGCAGGAGCTCCATGTGGCCTCGCAGCTCCCTGCACACCTCGAACTTCAGGCGCAGGGCCACCTTGGATCTAAGCAGGTCACAGGGCGCCCGTCAGGAGTCCAGGTCTGACCCGGACGGGCCTGACGGCGAGGCGCTCACAAGAGCGCCCCGTGCACCTTCTGCAGCTGCTTCTTATGAGTCACTTTCTCTGAGATGAAACCTGACGGGAAATTCTTAAAAATCAAAATAACTGAAATGTGCCCCAGATTTGAGAGGCTGGAGTGCTTTTGGGGGAACCTCCTTCCAGGGGCACAGGGAACTGGAGGGGGCTGGGGCGCTGCCTCCCCCCGCCCAGGGCTCTGTCTGGGCACTCTGGAGGTTCTGGGTGGCCGGGCCCCCAGTCAGGACCGCCAGCGGAAGCCAGATGCTCCCAGCTCTCCCAACCCTGCTTGCCCTAGGGGTCTGCCAGAGGCAGCTGTGGTGGCCAGCCTCCCTGTGGTGGCCACCCCCATGACCCTGGGACCGCCCAGATGTCCAGGATCTCCTGCCTTGGTCATCCTAGGGGACCCTTGGCAAGGGCGACTGCGGGTCCACAGGTGTGGCGCTCCTGCTGGCCACCAGGGGGCTCACCGCGTGTAAATGGGGACCGACTCCTGGTAGAGCYGGTCGTACATGCAGATCTTCAAGTCTACGTTGGGCTTGGGCACCCAGACTGGCACGTCCAGGGCCACGCCTGTGGCTCTGAAATACAGCTGAATTTGGACATGTGACTCAATGGGAGTCCTCCCCGGCAGAGCAGCCAGTGCTGGGAGAGCTCAGCAGGAGAATTCAGTGGGTCGGCTTCTTGTAACTCAAATTATAAATGTTGGAAGGTCAGTAATGACACCAAGCCACACTTCAGAGTTCTGAGGCATGTTTTCATGTCACTATACTTTAAAAAATATTTTTTTATTTAGTTGTAGTTAGACACAATACTTTTATTTGTTTGTTTGTTTTTATGTGACGCTGAGGATCGAACCCAGGGCCTCGCACGTGCCAGGCAAGTGCTCCACCACTGAGCCACCACCCCAGCCCCTCGTGTCACTATACTTTAAAATTATTTTTATTAACAAAAATTTCAAACTTAAAACAATAGAATAGATCCCGTTACAGGGGCACCACCTGTATTCAATCCCACCTACCTGGGAGGCTGAGGCAGAAGGATTGCAAGTACAAGTTCTGCCTGTGCACCTGAGAACCTGTCTTAAAATTTGAAAAAGAACTGGGATGTGGCTCAGTGATAGAGCACTTGCCAAGTGTGCACAGGCCCTGGGTTTCATCCCCAGCATTGCAAAAAAGCAAAAACCCAATTTTTCCTTACACAATAATGCACTATACAGAAAAACGTAAAAATTTTACCCATTAGGTGTAAAAATCTTATCCCTAATACAAACTTGTAGCTACAGAAGAGCTCGGAATTCTTGCAGGGGCACTGGAGGAGTGGAGGCAATCATTTCCTCATCTGTCACTTTGTCCCCAGAGATCTGGGGAGTCTGGGTAAGAAGAGTAGCTCAGTGGAAGAGCACCCCTGGGTTCAACCCCCAGGACAAAAAAAAAAAAAAAAGAGAGACAGAGGAATGGAAAAAGGGTTCTATGTGTGTGCTTGAGCATGCGTGGACATGTATGTGTGTGCTGGGGCACATGCATCATGTGCAAGCTACATGTGTGTGCCAGTGTGAATCAGGTTGAGTGCCAGCCATCTGTGCCGCCAGCTCACAGTCCAAGGAACAGGGTGGCTCACGTGGCTGTGGACGTGGGCCCTCCCAGCACTGGGGCTGTGTGGGCCGCGTGGCAGCAGGGGTACTCACTGTTGGGCACTTGGGATTCTTGAACACGACCTTGAACTTGGTCTGGACCTCCCCCGGGGTGACCGGGGTGAAGACGATGGGCACTCTGATGGAGCTAAAAGGGCCGATCTCCCCCTCCGTTATCTGCATGAAAGGGAGGTGCCCCGGGTCAGCAGGCCTCCCGGCCTGACCCTTACTGCAGCCACAGCACAGGAGGGCGGGGGCAGCACCATGTCTGTGGGGCCACGAGGTGACACACGGGCCCCGGAGCCTGGCCTTTCCCTTGACGACTTGCTGCCACGGGGCCCTTGCCGCGGGAGAAGGCGGCCCGCCCCCCCCCCCACCCCCTGGCTCCTGCCTTCCCACTGCGCTCCATCCTGGAGGGTCTGCGCTCAGTGTCCTCTGATTCGCAAACCAGCCCCGCGGCTCGGGTCCTGCCCAGTCCTCACGGCGGGCAGGGCACTGCCCCGGCTGAGACCGCAGGTTCCTGGAGGTTGGGTTGCAGCCTGCCTCCAAGCAGGTGGGAGGGCCCAGGGGTGGGGTGAGGAGGACGCAGCTGGGGCTGGTGGCCGGTGGGGGGCGGGTCCCCTTCCAGCCTCTGGCAGCCGGGGTGTGAGCAGAGGGGTGGGCTCACCTTCCCCAGCGTGATTTCTGGCTGCTCCTCGCTGGGAAACATTCCCAAGCCCCCCGCCTCAGAGGTGCCCTCTTGTTCTGGAAGGCAACAGGAGAGGAGAGACAATTCAGACATCAGTCACTGCCTGGAAAACGTCAGAGACATCTGAGGGACCCCAAACGTGCGGGACCTCCCCCCCAAGAACTCTGAAGCCCCCAGGGAAGGCAGAGAACTGGCGAGCGGATGAGGAGCAGCACCACACTGTGACCACAGGCTGTCCCTGGGCAGATTCAGCTCCGTGCCCGTTACGGATTCTAAAACTGATACGGAAATGCAAAGAACCTCAACTATCCCGAGCAACTCTCCTGAAACAGAACACAGGTTTCCCCAGCTCACCATGCGCCTTAAGTCCACAGCAGCCAGGGCGGCGTGCTGAGTGAGGGGCAGCTGGTCAGCTGAGCAGGGCAGCCCCAGAAATGGCCATGAGGCCCACGGGCAAAGCCAAGTCCTTTCAACACGCCTTCAGGAAGAGCAGCCACACGCAGGGAAAACGGCACCCGCAGCCCTGCCCCACAGCTGGACCCCAGCCTGACCTCAGAGCTGTGTCCTGGTCCCCATGACTTTGGGACCAGGAGGTCACGTGCACACGCACACACACGTATGATCGAGAAGTCTGGAAATCTTAAGTTTAAGCAGAGACGTCTTAGAGGTCGCACCGGGGCCATGAGAGCCAGTCCTAGGGACAGACTGGACGCAGCCAGAAGGCCCCAGAGGGAAGCAGGAGGGCAGGGAAACAGGCCGGGGGACAGTGACCCGGGAGGCCACCAGGAGTCCAGAGGATCTGGACAACAGACCTGGCCAGACCTCCTCTGTGGGCCACAGAGCAGGACATCCTAGGGCCTGGACTGTGCCGTCCAGCAGGATTTCTGGGCTGTCCAGCCCAACACTGCCCCGGTCACCGCGGAGCAGTGGACACGTGGCTTGTGTGAAGGAGGAAGGGTTTCTACTGTGGAGGAGAAGTGGATGTAAATGGCCCAGTGTGGCCAGTGACAGCCACGCGGGACAGCTCGGCCGCCCGTGGTGGGGGGTCCTAGACCAGCTGGGCCACTTTTAGAAAGTCCCTGAAAGCAGCTCCTGAAAGCACAGAGGTGCACCCTCGACCTGGGTCACAGAGGTGCGTGGGGAGAGTGGGGTGGTGCTGGCCACAGTGGCCCACCCCACGGGGCTGCCCGGGGCACCCAGAGCAATGTCTGTGAAGAAACGCCCACATGGTGCCGCAGGACGTGTGCATGGGGCGCGGGTGGCCTCGCCGTCAGGGGGCTGGAACAGGGGCCCGCTCACTGCTGGCTTCCTGGGGCACACAGAAAGCCCCAGAAGGAAGCAGGGAGACAGCCCCAGTGCTGGGGAAGGGGGCAGCGGCTGCTGGGCACGGGGCCGGGCCGGGGCTGCCCTCTCCAGCTCAGCACCAGGGACACCCACAAGTCGGCAGGGCCTCCCCAGGTGCTGGGTGCACTTCTGTAGTGGACACGAAGCGCACAGCCCCCAGCCACAGACAAGGACCCGGCCCGTGGTCAGGGCTCCCTGGCCCTCAGCGCACTGCCCAGCTCCTGGACGCCTCACGCTCCTTCAGGGTCCACGTGGATGCGAATTTCAGCCCACCCCCAAACCAGAATGGATTTGAACATATGAATAATTTCCTGTGGACTGTCACTCTCTTGGGGACTGTCACTTACTATGGGACTGTTGCTTAGAATGGAAGCCCTGAGTACCACTCCACACCTTCACGCTCTCGGGCCCTCGGTCTGTGGTCCACACAGAGCTGCCCTGCTGCACTGAGAGTTCAGAGTGGCCCTCCTGTCCCTCCCCTCGGCCTGTCCTGGGCAGCGTGGGAGTCGAGGCAGGGACGAGTGTGGGTGCCCTCACCCTCCATCGTGTCCGACTCTTTCCGGCTCTGGGTGTCCAGCGGGGAGGTCCCGTTGCCTTCCAGCTGTTGCTCGGACACACTGGTGAGGCCCTTGTCATCGTAGGTGAACAGGCTGCTCTGGAAGGGAACTGAACTTCACCTCTCCCCTCCATCCAGGCACCCCCAGTGGGGCCACGGGAGGCTGTGGCCAGGTCTGTGGCTCCTGTCTGCACGTCTGGGTCTCAGGCACAGCGAGGGCTCTCCCCGGGGCAGCCCTGACCCCTCGCCTCCTTTATCTGGCCGGGACAGCTCCTCCTGTCCCCTGCAGGGACAGCCCATCTCGGGTGCCACCTCTGAGCTGGGAGCCCAGCCCGACCTGCCCTGCCCGGCCACTGTTCCAGAGCAGGCTCTGCGGCGCCCGGGCAGCCCATCTTCCTCCTCACCGGTGGCCAGAACCCTGGTGCCCAGGGGGCCCAGACGATTCGTCCCCTGCCTGCCCAGGGGAAGCTCTGCCCCCAGGCTCCCACCTCCTGCCCTCGAAGCCCCTGTTCTCCACCCTGCCCAGGCAGCAGCCGCCCTGTTGGCTCTGTCCTCCCCTGGGTGAGACCCCAGAGGGCAGGCAGGACTGAGGGTCGGAGCCCACTGCTTCCTGAGGACTGTTCCAGTCTTAGAGCTGAGTGAGCCAGGCCACCTGCTCCTCCACTGACCCTGCGCCCTGCTGTGGCCAGGGCTGTCTCCTGGGTGGCCCCTGCACGGCCCTCCTGGGAGACGAGGCCCACCCCATGCTTCCTGGGCCCTGCCCCCAGCCTGGGCTTTGGGGTGCCTCGGGGAGGGTGGCCCCGGTGCTCCTAGCTGCTGCCCTGAGCCCACCCCTGAGGGGGCCCGCTGTGCTGTCCCCTCCCAGACCCCGGCCGACTGGCGAGTCTCACAGCCACTTTCACACACGCGGGGCCGTGTTCGGGTGGCCGCGCTGCGGGTCGAATCGGCAGCCCACTCACTATCTTCAGGAGGGGCAGGGACTCTTCGTCCGTCTCGTAGACCTCGGAAGCTGGAAGGAACCTGAAGCTCGTGCCGAGGCCCCCGGAGTTGGTCAGTGTGACGGTCCGGGATGTGGTCTCACCCACCACATAGCTGCCAAAGCTGATGAGCTCCTTGTCCAGGGACACCTACCAAAGGACCCCACAGTAAGCCGCTCTGGGCTGGCAGCTTGTCCAGCACCAGGGGCAGGCCCGGCAGAAGCCAGGGGACCAGGGAGCCTACAGCAAAGTCGCCACCCGCCTGTCACCTGAAGCCCCCAGGGACCATGGGAGCCTGGCCTTTCTTCCCCCTCACGGGGAGCCTGCACCTGGCTCCAGGCAGGACAGACAGGGCCACCCTAGACCTTTGCCCCAGCAGGGACACGCCCAGCCCAGAAGCTGCAGACCTGAGTGTGGCTCATGACAACCTGGGGCACCTGAGTCCARTGTCAGGGAAAGTCAGACCCATAACTCCCTTGTCCAGGGGCATGAGGTTGCTGGAGAGGAGAAACGTGTGGCCGGCGGGGTCTGGACACGGGCTGTCGGGGCTGGCCCCGCCCTGTGCACAGCTCTGGTCCCCCGTCTCTCTGGGCCTCCTCTCCCCAGGGACAGTCCTCCAGTCGGGAACCCCAGGAGACACCAGCCGACGGGGGGGGGGGGGGGGGCTTACGGAGCATTTCCTCGTGGAGCACTTCAGAGGGACGGCGAAGCTGCCCGTCTGAGCCAGGAACGAGATGCTTCCTTCCAGATCTTGATCTATCTGAACAACAGAACCAGCCCAGCCACGTAAACCCCTGTGACGTGAGCCACGGGCGGTGTCACACTAGGGCGCCTGCCTGCCACCCACCAGGCCAGGCCCGGGGAAGAGCCCAGAGGTGTCTGGGGAGGGGCCACCAGGGCAGAGCCTGCAGGGACGTGCCAGGGGGCGGGGCTCCACGTGGCTGGGCTCCACGTGGCTGGCTCGTCCTTCTGCCTCTCAGGGTGCTGGGAGTATTTTTTTGGATAAAAGTGGAAACAGCACCCTGCGCGGCCCTTTGACTCACCATGGGCTTGAACGTGACCAGCACTTCACAGGACATCCCGGCTGACATGGGCCCAGGGGGGTCAAAGCTGCAAACACAATGGCCAGGGCACAYGGTGGTCAGGCCTCCTGGTCTCTCCTCACCCAGGCTGCTGCCAGGCTGCCCCAGTTCCCAGTGGACAGGAGACACTCAAGGCACAGCGCCATCTGTCCCGAGAGCGAGTCAGAGAGGCCAGTCCCCTGGACCACTCTCCAGGAACGGGTCACTGAGGGTGAGCAGGGCCCTGACTCCCTGAGGACCCAGGACCCACGAGGTCAAGATTTAAAGCCAACATGAGGAGGGGGACTGTGGGCACAAGCAGCCCAGAAAATAGCCGCAACTGAGGCAGGGGACTGTCTCTGCTGGCCGGGCCCTGGGTGAAGGAGAGTCCCTTAGGGGTTCCCAACACCAGGCCTCTCCTACAGATGTACGTGGGTTAGAAACGGCACAAACTGAAAGTTTAAGGCAAGCGCCTGTCCCTGGCTGGCCGTGTCCCCCGGCCAGCAGAAGGAGACTCCAGGCTGCTCTGATGGGGACGAAGCCCCGTGTCACCAGGAGACACAGAATCACCAGCACAGAGCCCCCTGGTGAGGGGGTCAGGACAAGGAGCCAGGGGTGTGGACACCACGCGGCAGAACTGAAAGACGCAGGGACTCCACCCCCCTCCCGCCGAGGGCCGTGGGCCCATCCCCAGCACGGCGAGACACCAGCAGGAATAAACTGGAAACTAAACGTGTGAAGACGTCGAAGTGAGCAGGCCCCAGAGTCAGGCGCCAAGCCCAGCTCTTCTGGAAGAACTGGCCTGTCTCCTGCGGCTGGTCATGGGTGGGGCCCGGGGATGGGGACACCACAGGCCCCGGAGGCAGAGCTGGGGACCAGGACGTGGGGTGGCTGGCTGGCGGCACAGGGACGTGGACTTAGAAGCAGGACCCGGAAGCCAGGCTTTCAGAGCAGCGGGTGGGTGGACAGGAGCCACGTCCTCTGCCAGCGGAGGGGTCATTCAGGAGGGAGCAGCCTAGCGGCCTCCACTGGACCCGGGCCATGCACCTGCCCTCCAGAGACCACGTGGGCCAGCAGGAGCAGGCCGCAGGCACAGACAGAAAGCCTGACTGGAGACAGAGCCACCAAGACCCCAAGCCAGCGCCCCCAGCCACCCTCTGCAGATGGCTAGATACAGGGAAGAGAGGAGGGGGGACTAACCTTCTACAGCCCCTCCCACTCAGTCCCTGAAGAGAACAGAATACCCCAGTGGGTCGGCCAGCACTGCCCACCAGGAGGGGCTGTCAGGGAGACTGGGATTCCTCTGCCAGACGCCCTCTTCAGAAATGGCAGGTCACATACCGCACTCCTGGACTAGAAGTCTCTTTCTGTAGTACTGGGGATTGCCACCAAGTCACATTGCAGCCCTTTTTATTTTTTATTTTGAGGCAAGGCCAAATACATAGCTGAGGCTGGCCTCTAACTAATTTATGCTCCTCCTGCCTCAGCCTCACCACGCCCAGCTGCACTGTGAATCTTAAAGCCATTCTGGGCCTCCAACCTGCTCTCCAAACAGGAGGGAGGTTGGGAAGGAAGCAAAGAGAGCCCAGCTGTGGTGGACCAAGGCCAGACGTGAGGAGCGGAGGAGCAGCACCGTGTGCAGGAGCAGCCCTTGAGGCTCAAGCCCCAAGTCACAGGCACAGGCAGGTCGGGGAGGTGGTCCCCGAGGGAGGTGGCTGTGCTCGTCCCACGGAAAGCTCTCTGGCTGCCGGGGGCCTGCCGGGTGCCTGCCAGGTGAGTGCCAGCATCCAGACCCGGATGCAAGAGGACGGATGGCCTCCGCGCGGCCCAGGGACGGGGCTGGGGACTCACCTGACGTGGACGAAGTCCCGCAGGTCCTCGCTCACGCCCACCAGCGAGCAGTAGTTGATGGTGTAGGTGGCGTTCACCAGCGTGATCTTCTTCTTGTACGCTTTGCCAACCTCGAAGTCCTGGAGAGTCAGCAGTTGCTGACCCCAGGCCTCGGCGGGGGCCTCGAGTCGCCTGGGACCCTGCTGATGCCCATCCTCAGGGCGGCTCCAGGGGTGGCCCGGGCCAGCCTTGGCAGATGTGGCTCCAGAGAAGCCGTGGGGAAGGACAGGAGGGAGGCTCAGGCTGGCCACCTTGGCCTCACCTGCTCCTTCACCTGCTGACATGGGCCAGCAGGCCACTGGGGCTGGACTCCTGGGGGCCTTCTCACGTGAAGCCAGAATCTGCCAGGGCAGGGGCCCGGTGGCAACCGCCCAGTCCCATCCCCTTCCCRAGAGGCCCAGGGTCCCTGTGGCCCACGGTGCCTCCCGAGCCTCCCGCCCTCTCGGCTCCTCGCACCAGAGGCAGCCCTACGGTCCACACGGTCTGCAGAGGTCAAGGCAAGAGGCACTGGGGCTGACCGTGGGCTACCCAGCCCCTGCCCAGTGCCGCCTCGGGCTCACCTTGAAGTGGACCAGCTGGGGCTTGCTGTTGAAGGGGCAGCCTTTGAACTCCCGCCCRGACACCACCTGCCTGTGCACCACCCCGCTGCGCAGCTGGGCCGTCGTGCGCGCCAGGATGTCCTTGTCCATCTTGGTGCCGCCCACAGGCTTCTGGTTCCCATCCTCCTTGTGCTCCTTGGGTGGCAGAGACAGAGGCCATGTGGCTCAAGGCCCGGAGCTGACCAAGGGCAGGGCTGAGCCACTTCAGGGGTCAGTGCTTCCCAGAGAGAAAAGTGGGAGGAGGAAGATACTCGCAGGACGCAGGGGCCCTCAGGAGACGACGGAGGGGAGGGGTCTTGTAACTTGCTGAGTCAGGACCAGAGGGAGTTTGGGGAGAGTTCTGCAGGCAGAGTTCTCCAGGGCAAAGTCGGGCCGGGACAACCTCTCGGACATCAGCAGCAGAGCCAGAGTCCAAGACGGCCCCAGGCGGGTTCTGTTCCTCCTGGCCAGGAATCTGCTCGGGTCCTCGGCTCAGTCAGCTTGTGGGACAGCCCGGGCCTGGCCGCCATGGTGGGAAGCCACCTGGTACCTGCCTGGCACCCACCTGCCCACCTCTGCCTGCTGGGTCCAGGGGCACAGTCAGCCAGGCCCGTCTTGCTGCTGCCCACCAGTCAGGCTTTGCCAGAGCCAGTCATGGCCTGGCCCTGACTGAGGGAGCCCACGTCGACAGGAGCCGGGCGGTGGGCAGCCCCTCCCCCAGGGATGGAGCACACGGCGGCCACCACAAGCTGGGGACACGCCTTGCGATCCCGAGGTCCAGCACTCTGGGTGAGCTTCCCGAGGGGTCGTGGTCATCTGCACTCAGCCTTCCTCTAGAAACGCTTCCCGACAGAGAGCGGCGAGGCACGGCTGACCCCTGGGGCCCAGGGACAGGCAGCTAGGCTCAGTGGGGAGTGGGACCATTGTGTCCAAGCTGGCTCCCCTGGACAGTGGTGGGCAGAGGAAGGAGCCAGAGATGGGCAGGGGCAGCAAGGAGAGTCCTCAGAGCCAGGGACGAGGGCCAGGGAGAGTCCCGCCAGGCCCTGCCGAGGAGAGGAGAGCTGGTACCTGGTATGGCATGTAGTCTTCCCTCCAGAGCCCGGGGATCTCGGGTTCAGCCAGCGTTTCCTGCTCTCCACTGGTGGCCCCAGCGACCCCCTGTACAGACTCACTGGAGTCGGCTTTCAGGAGCCAGGAGGGCTCAGGGTGCGCTGCAGCCTTGACCTCCTGTAGGCAGGATGCAGCAAGACACACTCAAGTCAGGGCTGCAGCAGCAGGAGGAAGACAGGTTGCGGGAAGCCGCAGGGAGCCCAGCCTTTGCAGCCCCTCCTCTGCCTGGAGAAGACGCTCCGCTTTCCACCTAAAACGCAGCTCCGGCCTTTTCACACAGAACGCCACTTTTCTGCAGTGCTCAGCAGAGTCCTCAAGAGACTCCCTTTCATGGCAAGGCCTTGGGATGGATGCTGGCAGGGGCTCCTCCTGGGGGACCTGCTGCAGGCCCAGAGGAGGAGCCGGGAGTCGGGTGCTGAGGGGAGGCCGGAGGCCTCGCAGGACAGAGGAGAACGTGCAGGGAAGAGCAGGGAGGGGCAGTGGCAGAGGCCCCAGGGGAAAGGCAGGGCACAGCCGCGCCACAGAGGCCCAAAGGGTCACGTCCCTGCCCCCTGGCACCACGCAGGCCTGGGTGTGGCAGGCGGGCAGAAGCCTGTCCCTGGCAGTGGGTGGAACCGTGGTGGGCTGCCCTGGGGCCAGACCCCGCTTACACTTGGGTGCGGCAGGTCTGCCGAGGGTGGCAAGGGCCCTGGCAGAGCTCAGAGGGAGCCCATCCCCTGGGCCCGCCATGTCCTCCTCCGCACCTGGCCCAGGCCCTTCCACTGCAGCCGCTGACAGCAGCAGCGTCCGCTCACCAGCGGGTAGCTGGAGGCCACGGCCGTCTCCCCGGTGCAGACGTGGGCGATGTAGCTCCAGGTCCTGTCTCGAAGAGTGCGTCCCCGGGGGGCTCTGGAGGGGGGCCGCTGCTTCTTCTTCCGGTTGTCCTCCTCGGCCCCCTCTTTCACAATCCGACCGATGATCTCCTGCTTCCGGAGCTCCTGCCCCTCCTGGAAGGTCCTGTTGGAGGGGCTTCTCAGACAGGATCCGGGAGCCACTCGGGCCCAGTGTGGCTCAGCTTGGCCTTGCTGGCTGCCTCCCAGAGGCTCAGGTCCAGCCCAGCAGGGCTCTGAGGTCAAACATCCTGGTCTCAGTGAACTGCTGGCCTCTTTGGGGAGGGATGATGGGGCCCCAGAGGGCTGCCACGCTGGACACCCAGGACTTGAACGCCAGCCCTGCCTCCCCTGCCTGTCCGGCTCTGTCCTGCTGGCCCCTCGGGCAGTCCCCAAGATAGGCCTGGTCCTCACGAGCTGCCCTGTCCAGGTTCCCAGGCTATCTGCTGGGCACAGAGCAGGGCAGTGCCAGGCCCGAGGACATCACTCCTCCTCTCTGCTGCTCCTGCCAGGCGCTGCCCAAGAACCAGGCCTAGGCAGGCAGGGGCCATGACAAAGGCCCAGTGGTGACTGCAGGACTGAATAGGTCACAGCCAGGCTCCATGACACCTCGCTCCCTGACACAGTCCAAGAGAGGGCGGGAGGCCAGCAGGGCGGGAGGAGAGCCAGGAGGAGGCCGAGGCCTGAGAAAGACCTTGGCAGGGAAGTCCCTGGGGCTGTGTGTGCAAGTGGGCAGCCCTCCTCAGAGCCCAGTCCAGGAGCCCGAGGCAGGACAACAGGTAGCACCAGCTCGCCCTGGGGAGAGCAGAGCCAAGCCCGGGCAGGGTGTGGAGGGTGAGTCCCAGCAGCACCCAGGAGGAGGGTGCCATGTGGGTGGCAGGAATGGAGGGTCCCAGCCAGTGGTGGCACAGGCCCACCTCCTCACCTGCTCCTGGGAAGGAGAGGAGTGCAGGGCCCAGGGTCCCTGGAGACCCCCTGCACTGGGGGCCAGGGGCCGGTAGGGGAAGTGCAGAGGGGCTCTTCGCAGAGCCGCAGACTGGCTGGGGTGAGGGCCGTGGCCCTCTCCCCCTCCTGTGCCCGCCTGCCCTGGAGCAGGAGTGGGCTTTGCTGCCACCTGCCCACCCTCCTGCCCTCACCTCCTCTGGGCCTCCAGGTGCTGGCGCCGTTGCTGGTGGACGAGGTGCCTGAAGGCGTCCCCGCCCTGGGCCAGGATGGCCTCCTTCTCTGCCTTGGCCTTCCGCTCGGTCAGCGCCGCCCGGGCCCGGCCCCAGGCCTGGACCCTGCGCAGTGTCTCCTGGAAAGAGGGCACCCTGAGGCCGAGGCCCAGGCCCAGGCCCACGCCCAGGCCCACGCCCAGGACCTCGCCCACGCCCAGGACCACGCCCACACCCAGGACCACGCCCACACCCAGGACCACGCCCATGCCCAGGACCACGCCTAGGCCCATGCCCATGCCCAGGTTCACGCCCAGGACCTCACCTATGTCCAGGACCACGCCCAGACCCATGCCCAGGTACATGCCCAGGATCTCGCCTATGCCCAGGATCTCCCCCAGGACCACGCCCACGCCCAGGACCACGCCCGCAGGCCCCTACCCGGCTGGCGGCGATGCTGCTCTTCAGGGCCAGCACCGCATCCATGCGCTGCCTCAGGTGCTCGCGGGTCTGCGACTCCTCCCCGCGCTCCCGCTCCCGGACTCTGGAGGAAGGTGGGCTTGTGACAGGGGCACTTGTGGTGACACCAGCCCACATGGCCACGGCGCTGCGGGGGCGGGCAGCTCTGCGGTTTGGGTGATCAGGTGGTGACGCCGCGGGGTGCCCACAGGACGGTCCTGGGGGTGGGGACGCACCGTCCCAGGGAGGCCTTCAGGAACTTCACGGCCACCTTGTGGTTCCTCTGGGCCTCTTCCACCAGCGTCTGGTGTCGGAGTCCCAGCCCCTTCTGCACTTGCAAGGACTTCCTGCAGAATCGTGGGCCCAGCATTCAGCCCTCGGGCTTGAGTCACTGTGGGAGTGGCCTGCCCAGTCCCTGCACTCTGGCCAGGCTGGGAGGGGGCCCCGGGCAGGCTGGCACCGCAGGCCATGGTGTTAAGTGAGATGCTATGGGGGCTCTGGTTCAAGGGCCCTGCAACAGCAGGGTCTGGCTCAGGGTGGGCAGGGGAGTGGGAGGGGAAGGGACCAGCAGCAATGCTGTCGCAGGGGAGGAAGAGGTGGGGGGGGGCACCGGAGACAGAGGTGGCAGGGCCCTGGGTCCACAGGAAGGAGCAGATCTGGCCACCAGCTGGGCATGGCGGGGAGTGGTAGGGGTCAGGAGGACCCTGGTCCTGGCCTGGCAGCTGGATGAAGGTGGAGGCCAGTTGTGCAGAGGAGGCTGGAGTTTGGGGCTCCAGAGGAGAGGCCTGCTTCCAGGTTGGGGAGGGAGGAGATCCAACTGCCCTGAATCCCTGGGGTCARTCTGGTAGGTGGCTGAGCAGGAGACCCAGGGACTGCTCCCGGGACTGGGCAGGAGCACTGGTTGGGGATGCAGAGAGCAACCTGGCTGAGGAGGAGGAGGAAGTGGGCAGGAGGAAGAGCCTGCAGGTCTCAGTGACACCGGTCACTGTTACTGAGGCTGGGAGCATTTCAGGGGCAGGGAGCCTGGGCTGGGCCAGGGGGACAGACACAGAGAGGTTGGCAGAGAGAGGAACTTGGCAAGTCCTGGTGCAGAGGGCAGAGGGGTGGGCAGGAGCCAGGCAGGCACTCTGGGGCGGGGGCTGGGGCGGCTCACCAGACCCTCAGCTGCTGGTTCTTGTCCGCCTTCTCCAAGGCCTCCTTCTCCTTGAAGAGCTGCTGGGCCTCGTGCACCTGGACRCTCCCGCCCCTGGCCTCTGCCTCCTCGCTGTGGGACTTTTGGAGGGCCTGGAGCCGCCCCTTCTGGATCTCAATGTGCCACAAGGCGTCCCTTGCAAACAACASCACCGTTTACAGGAGGCCGAGACCTGCTGGCGCTGGTACCGCCTCGACCAGYGCTCCAGTGCAGGACACTGTCCAGGATGACCGTGGGCTCCTGCCTCTGGGAACCCTCTGGGCCCCGACCTCAGCTGCAGACTGAGGTCCCCTTGTCCTGCCTCCAACCTTATGAAAATCGCCATCTCGTCCCGCCCAGCCTGGCCAGCACCTGGCTCCCCACTCCCGGTGCACCGCAGGCCTGGGTCAGCTACCGTGGTGGGCCCTGCCGGGCCTGGGGAACATCATGCTCGGAGCATGTGGCAGCCAGTCCTGCCCAGGGCCATGGTCTGGCCATGAGCCAGAAGGTGAGGGACTTGTCCAGCCTCTGACCTTGGGCAGTTGTGTCTACCATTGGATAGTGTGACCTCTCACACATGATGCCCCTTGAGCTTCTAGCTCAGCTCGGGTGGGATGGGGGTGCAAGCAGGGGAAGGTAGAGGCTGAGAACGTGCTTCCTAGGCCTCAGGGGCCCGCCCTGGTGCGCAGCAGTGAGTTCCTACCCACCAGAGCCCACCCACCTGGACGGCTGCCCTGGGCCTCCCCAGCAGCTCTGCCCGGCACTGGGCTCCATCTGCACCCACAGGTTTCAGCCCCCGCTCGGCTTCAACCTCGATGGCACCCCATGCGGTGGGTGCGGGAAGCGCTGGGTAGATGCTCCTAACCATTTTAAGAACACCCCTTCTGAGCCTGTGTACTGCTCTGTGCTGGGGATGGAGCCCGGGCGCTCCACTGACCCCCAGCCTTTTCATCGTATGTGGGGACAGCGCCTGGCTAAGTTGCCCAGGCTGGCCTTGAACTTGAGATCCTCCTCCATGAGCCTTCTGAGGAGCTAGGGCCACAGATGTGCACCTCTGAGCCTGGCGGCTGAGAGTGTCTTGAAACAGAATCGCCACCGTGGAGTCGAGGCCATTCTCTCCATCACCAGAGCTGTGGCGGGTCCCCGAGCTGCGGCACCCTCGAATGRAATCAGCCTCACATCCCCCCGCAGTGCTGGGTCGGAACCCGGGGTGCTCCATCACTGAGCCGCCCCCTCACGCCTGGGTATTTTGATTTTGAGACGGGGCCTTGAGGCGTGGCCCAGACTGGCCTTGAGGGTGCCATCCTGCCGCAGCCCTCCCGTGGCCGGGATCGCCAGCGTGGCCCGTGGGCCTGCAGTCAGCCTGACATCTCCCAGGGAACTCACAGCTGCAAGCTGGACGGGCCTGGTCCCTGTCCCCTGCCAGGTGCTGACGCGGAAGACTGCCAGGCCCAGACGTGTTTGGTCCTCAGTGTGGTGACGCAGTGTGCAGCGCGCGGCCCCTGTTTCCTGGGGGACGGTCGGGTGGGCGTCTCCTTTCTTGCGCTGTCGTCGTGGCTTTAGTAGCAAAGCGATACCACTGGTCGGGAGCCGGGGATGAACTGTGGGCCCGTCTGAACGCGCGGTGTCACCCGACCTCTGAGACTGCTTCCTGGCCTTGGCAGACGCCCTGCTCAGGGAGAACCCTGTGGCACGTGGAGTCTCTGGGCTCAGACAGGTTCAAACACACCTCCCTGGAGGTGGAAAGAGAGACCAGGGCGCCCAGGTGGCCTCGAGGGACCAGCTGCTGGCGGAGGAGGCACCACCAAGTGGGGGTCCCCAGTCAGGCCGGCCTCAAAGGACCCTCCTCACAAAAAGACCCCTCGGTGTGTTTCCCTACAGATGAAGCCTTCGCCGGCTTCTCCCTGTGTCGGGGTCGGACCCAGGGGCTCTTCCACCCTAAAACCCCTGCTCTCAATGCGTCTCTTGTTGTTTGCTTTTTTGATTTCTTTTGAACCAGGGCCTTGTGCGTGCGAGGCAAGCGCTCCACCAACTCAGCTCCTACCCAGAGCCTGTTTCGGTTCTTGTTAGAACATGTTTTAGTTACAGGTGGACACAAGACCTTTACTTCCAGGTGGTGCTGAGGACCAGCCACGGTCCCGCCCGGGCGAGGCGAGGGCTCACGGCTGAGCTCAGCCCAGCCTCTCTATTTTCAACTCGACCATTTCCGGCCGGCCCACACCTGCCGTGTCGCACGGGGCCACGCAGGACGCACGCGACCACCACTCCACTCGACCCTCGGGCCTGGTGGGCTCTTTGTTGGGAAATTTGAAACAGTCGCTGGCTTTTTAATGATGGGCCCCTTCACCTCTGAGACCGGAGTGTTGCCGGCTGCCCCCGAGGCCGTCCCCACTGCCCCGTGGCTCTGTGGCTGGGCCATGCGACTCCAAGCTGAGGACCTGTGCTGTCGGCAGCTCCGGACGGTGCCGCGTCCTGTTCTGTGCAGGACTTGGGTGAGGGGCCGGTGCCGCCGTGGCAGAGGCGGAGGCTGGCGACCTTCAACCGGCCCCCCTGGCGGCACGCAGTCCTGGAGGCGGGGGTCCGGGGTCAGTGCAGGAGGCCAGGGTCTGGTAGGTGTCAGGTGCAGGACAGGCTGAGTAAGCTGTCTGCAGGCGACCTGGCCACTCCGACCCTCTGTCTGGTTCTTGATCCCCTGTTTGCTTCAAGCCCAAACGCCCCAGCCCCCGCCCAAGGCCGAGCGCTCAGCTCCCTGGCACCAACAAGGCAGCTGGCAGACCCAGAGCCCTTAGATCTGGGCRGTAGAAACTCCCTCCTGCCGGGCCCCCTGGGCTGCTCTGCTGCAGTAAAGATCCCTTGGTCGCTCCGAGTGCTGTGGTCACTTCCCTTTCTGCAAGGACCTGTCCTCTTGGCTATGCTGTCCGGGCGTCCTCGCAGGAGGGGACAGAGGGACAAAGGCTGCCATGAGCCCTTTCAGAAGGACGCTGACCACCTCACAGAACCCCGCTGGTTCCTCCCCTGGGCACAACTTCCAGACCACAGTGACTCTGCTGGGAAAGAGTGGGCTCCTAGGCCCGGCTGTGGGGACAGGGTCAGCGCCGCTGAGCCGCAGACCCCTGAGCACCAGTGACCGTGACAGCAGAGCCTCCCTGCTGGACGACGCTGGTCCTGCTCTGCCTCCCGGGCCAGCTCCTCCTGCCATCATGCGCGAGGGCGTCTGCAGGGTGCCCGGGAGCCGAGTGCCCTGCAGGACGGAGCTGGCTCCCTGGGCAGCTCTGCATCTCTTCAGAAGCCACTTCTTGTCCCCAAAGCTCTGCCAGAGCTCTTCACTGGGGGCCAGTGGTCACCTGTCCAGCCAGGGAGGTGCCCCGGGCAGCGCGGCACGGCGGAGGGCTTCTGTTCACCAGCCACGAGGTCGCCCTCCAGGCCCCAGATCTGACGCTGCGGTGGGGGGCTCCAGCCTGCGGAGGGTGGGTGGGCCCAAGGCCAGGGCACAGGGCGGTGCCCCACCCGTGGGAGCGTGCTCGCCCTCGCCCAGGTTCCTGGCACGCACCCAGGGCTCCGCCACGTTCAGATGCCCTGTGGTCCACATCACTGGTCTTCAGCTGAGATCCACAGCCGGTCAGCTGGTCCAGCCCCAGGACGATGGCAGGCCACCACTGCTGGTGAGAAGCAGCAGGAGACCCCCCCCGAGGGGCCCTCATCTCAGCCAGTGTGTTGTCCCAGGGTGATGACCTCTCAGGGTCCAGCAGCAGTCCAGCAGTACCACCCTCACCCTTCCTGGTGGAGGCCCATGGACGAGGCCCAGCTCTCGGCTGGTCAGCTCCCACACAGCCAGGGGCTCGAGGACAGAGGAGGACAGTGTCCTGCCTTGGAACTGAGGGGTGGTGGCCATTTGAGCTAAGCTGTCCTTATGGCCCTTGAAGGTGTCATGAAGGCTTGTCTTCACTGTCCCGGTGGTGGCCAGAGCCCACGTCACTGCAGTGACAGGGACGGCACTGGCATCTCAGAGCAGCAGGTGCCACATGTGGGGACAGATCCAGGACTGGCAGGAGAGGCCGAGGAGAGGCTGGGGAGAGGTTGGCAGGAGAGGCTGAGGAGAGGCTGGGGAGAGGCTGGCAGGAGAGGCTGGAGAGAGGCTGGAGAGAGGCTGGGGAGAGGCTGGGGAGAGGCTGACAGGAGAGGCTGAGGAGAGGCTGAAGAGAGGCTGGGGAGAGGCTGGGAGAGGCTGGGGAGAGGTTGGCAGGAGAGGCTGAGGAGAGGCTGGGGAGAGGCTGGGAGAGGTTGGCAGGAGAGGCTGAGGAGAGGCTGGGGAAAGGCTGAGGAGAGGCTGGGGAGAGGCTGGGAAAGGCTGAGGAGAGGCTAGGGAGAGGCTGGGAAAGGCTGAGGAGAGGCTGGGGAAAGGCTGAGGAGAGGCTGGGGAGAGGCTGGGGAGAGGCTGAGGAGAGGCTGGGGAGAGGCTGAGGAGAGGCTGGGGAGAGGCTGGGGAAAGGCTGAGGAGAGGCTGGGGAGAGGCTGGGAAAGGCTGAGGAGAGGCTGGGGAGAGGC